GAATGAAACGTTTTTCACCTTTTTGCAGTCACAGATGCGGATCCCAGAGCTCGATCCCCGGACCTGATCTTACCTTACCTCACCCGTGTACAGTATCAAGTTGACCCTGTGTGTCTTGAACCCGTGACCTGTATATTAGTAGTTGAAAGTTGTTTGTCATAGGTCTGAGTAGTTGTCGGGTCTTGAACCTTAGACCTGTCGAAGTAGGGGTCATACCTGCACAGGGGTCACAGTTGTTGGAGTTCTGGAAGGTCAAGGCCGTAGCTGCTGCAGTCCTGAAAGGTCAAGGTCGTAGCTGCTACAGTCCTGAAAGGCCAAGTCCGCAAACTTCCGGAAGGTCCGGAAGTGGGCTTTCAACCTTCTTTCACGTTACACACAGCAGACCAGAGGCAAGTGGGCAAGTGGTGAGTCCAACTTCGCCTAGGCAGTAGTACCCAGTCCCAGTCTCACGTTGCACAGTCAGCAAGTACCCTGAGGGACCGTGTGCACCATGGGCCCAGCGGAAAAGGGCCAGGCCAGCGACTTGCAGAAGTATAAATCAAGAGGCAGCGTCCAGCCATTCATTCATTCCTGCGCGAGGCATGCAGAAGCACTGCCCTAGCGTCTTGTGCGAGGTGGTCTGCAGATGCCTGAGGACGAAGTGGGCGGAGGGAAGACAGAGTATCCATAGCTAATAGGGGTTAGGCGGCCATAGCCGCTGTAGCTTAGAGGCAGAGTTCGGTGTGTGTGTGAGTGGCAGAGTGTATGTGCGTGGGATATTCAGGGTGATCCAGAGTGAGTATGTGCGAACAGTGGTGTTGGTCAGAGTGCGAGAGTTGGGAAGTACAGGGGCCGATGCGCCCTAGCTGTTGAAGCAAGTTTGCATCTGAACTGTGTTCTCGGTTTCCATATCTCTGAGCGTTGAGTGGGCGCTTGGCGCCAGTGTGGATTGCCATCCGTGTGTGTGTGAAGTGAACAAGAAAACGAGTCTGATTGCATATATATGTATATATTTTAAACAGGTCCGTATGGTCCTGGCTCCATATCCATTCTGGGGAGCATCAGGCCGGTTCCTATTCGCCCGGCAAGTCCAAATAACAGAATTACATCATTGCACACACACACGCCCCCTTCCGCCTGGCCGAAGGGTCCCTGATCAGCATTGATTACTCCACTGCAATGGAGGATTGACTGCCAGCTTGCCTTCCCCTGAGTCCCTCTCAGATACCTCTGTTGGAATCTGTCTGTAAAACGAGAATGCAAGGAAAACAGAGATTAGAGCTGATATAACCCTGGAACATCTCATGTGGCTCTGAAGTCTTGCTGTTCGTTCTGGTGTGAGCCAACCTTGCATTTTCTATTATATTGCCTATCTATATTTTTTCGCTATGGATGGCTTGTGATGATCTGTGAAGGGAATGAGAGAGAGAATCTGGGGTTCTTTAAAACAACAACCCCCCCCCCCCCCCCCCCCCCCCCCMMCCACCACCGCCACCACACACACACACACAATGCACACATGCCACATCACAAGTTTCCTCATTTACAAAAACAGAGATGTGCACAGCAGGGCAATCGCTCAACGGCAAACAACCATTGGCATGGATATGGATGAATGACACGCAAAGAAATTGGCAGCCCAACGGAAATCAGAGAACAACGTATCGCATGAAAAATACTGAACACAAAAAAACAAAACCCTCCTTCCACATCATCTGAAAGATGGTCACCCGTAACAAAACCATCGAGATTTGAGCCTCTGTAAGAATGCTGTGAAGTGCGAAAGACAAAAAAATAAAATGAAACCCTCCTTTCGCAGCATCCGAAAGACGGTCTCCCGGAACAAAACCATCCCGATTCGAGCCTGGGTAGCACTTCTTTTCCACGCTCCCCCAGGAATTGAGTGAAACGACACTCAAAAAGTCCACCCCGATTCGAGCCGGCAACCTCTTTGCTAACACTCACACTATCGAAGCCTGTTAGTTGCATTACATATGCCTGCAATGAATCAATTAATTCGTCATGGTGGAGAATCAAAATGACGTACTCCTGAAGACAGGCCCCAGAAGCACTCCGTGCCCGATCCCTTCCCTGTTTCCGAACAGCTCACTAGCTGACCCCTTGGCTCACAGTTCATGTGAGGACAGGTTCCCACGGGAAACATTTTCCTTGGGCCCATTCCAAGATGCACTCCTTGCTTTAGGTGTTGCGAGGATCTGAGCCCTCGGCATGCCCTTATGGGGCCCTTACTGCAAGCCTGTGCCCACCGTAAGTGACGACAGGCCCCCGAATCTCAATGAGGCCTGAATACAGCTATTTTGCAGGCCCTGGTGGGTGCCAGACAGTTACCACGTGCCAGGTGGTTACATATGCCCTGCTCGCAAGCATCAGAATCTTCCGAGAGCCTTCCAGGCTCTTCCAAATCTGACGTGGAAGCAGGCCTCTCGGCCTATCAGAATGCAGGGAACACCTAATTGGACACTGGGTGGCTGGGCGCGCCTAACTGCTGCGGGCCCAGGCCACTGTCTGAATGCAGACACTTTGGCCCAACGTGAAGCTACAGGGAAACATGGGCCTCCCAGCCAAGGAGCCTACAGGCCAGGCCGCTTTCCATATAGGAAAGAGCCTGGCCACGAGAAGGACATTCGGGCACTTGTGTGCACGGCGGCAGTGCTGCTACTTGGAGCGCTCATGCTGCGAGCACTAGTGCCTGGGCGCACGTGGGTGCTTGGGCAGGGGAGTGCTGCCTGAAGGCAGCGAGCACCAAGTCAGCCATAGCCGGGGCTTGGGCGCAGTGGTAACCAGTGGAGGTGGTGGTGATCTTCGGTAGGGAGAAGCTGTGGGTGAAGTCGAGGGTGGGCATTAGGAGGGCAAAGGAGAGAGGAGATGTGAGAGCACGTACCTGATGGACATCTGCATGTACTTTGGTTGCTGCTGCTGATGTCAACTGGTAGCTTTGTCATTTAGTAGGCTAGCGTAGTAGCTGTGTGATCGTGATGTGGGCGCTGAGCACCAATAGGGGAAAGAGCGTCGGGAACATTGTTGAAGGTGGCGAGAGAGGGCTTTCATTGACAATTGAATTCGCTGCTTTGGCTCTCCTTTGGTGTGATATCAGTGCATTTCTGCTTTGTGGACAGCTCACCACTATCTGGTTTTCAATGTGATGTTGCAATTTGGATTCTGTCATTTCGCTATTGCTCATTTTTCTTGCAGTTTTATATGGATGGATGGATATGGGCATTGACTTGGATGGATATGTATGGATAGAGATAGAGCAGCTATCCTTAAAAAAAAAGAAAAAGAAAAAAAAAAGAATGATAGGCATATCTCACTATCAGCCACACTCTAAAAGATCCTGGCTAAGGCACTGGCGAACATATTGAACATTATGAATGGATAAGCTTTTCCATTTGGAGCAAGCTGGATTCATTCCGACAGATACGTTCTAGACAGTGTCATGATATTTGATGAAGTCAGCAAAAGGCTGGTGGGGAAGAGAATGCAAGCAACAATTTAGTTCTTCGACTTTTGTAAACGTGTCCAGCCAAGTCAATTTTGATACGTGGAGTGGGTAACTGGACCTGGTTTCCAGAAATGGAATAAATCTCGTTACAAAAACTTTACTATTAGTTAACAAAAAAACAGGCATACAACCAAGTCAATTGGGACTTTCTTTATGGGGCAGGCAGTGATTTCAGGAATTGGGTAAAATCTGCATAAACCACCAGTACCTCGCCCAACTAAGTTTTTCCGATGCGGACGTTAACGCGCCGTGTCGGACGGAGGTCGTAGGTACAAGGGGCGGTTGCAGCAACAATACGGAAAAAAAAAAAAAAGGAACTTATCTTTGTTTTATGGATGCTGTGGTTACGCGGCTGCTCCTGAGTGTATCTCACGTCTAAAAAAGTTAGATTCTCTTTGTTGATTTTATCTTCTTTTTTTTTTTTTTTTTCAGTTTGTTTCTAGATCCCCTGCAGCGAGGCAGGGTGTACCCCGTGATGCACTCACCCGCCCTCCTTGAGGGCAAAACGGATTTTATTTTTTTTGTCTTTTTCTACTATCTAGATTCTGACATGGACGGGAGTCCCGGGACTTCTTTTTTTTTTGTCTTCTTTTACTTTTCAGATTCTGAGTTGAAGTCAGGCGCACACTGAGGCTTGCTCACACTACCACTTCGGAGAATGTATACAACTGCATTTGCGTCCTTAGGGGTGTTGCTTTTTTTTCATTTTTCATTTTTCTTTTCCCATTCAGGTCCCTCCAGCCTCGGCCTGCCCTGCTACCGGTACCCCCAGGCTCGGCAGGCTTGGCATACCGGTCGCCTGAGGGTTGGAGAAAAGGTTAACGGAGACCCTAATTTTCAGACCACTTGCCATGTCATTTATACTAAAACCAAAGGGTCATTAAACCCGTCATTTTAATCAAACTTTCCACCAATTCATAGAGTGGAGACCATAGTAACCTAGTGCGAAAAAAAAAAAAGACGAAAAGACAAAATTAAGAAACATATAAAACAGCAAGGCAAAAGTGCACTTCCATAAAAAATTGACCCCCGAACCCTAATTTCAGTTTTGGACCCGTTACCCAGGGCCTGAAATTGGGGATCCCCGTTAACCACTTGCGGAGGGTTGGGCTACATAGCTGGGCGAGGTACTGGTGGTTTAAGTAGAGGACACCAGGCAGGTCATGAATTGTTTCTGGAGCCATGATGAAGCCACATTTTGTTCCTATGGAGCAGATCTGTTTGAACCACCAGTCTGGGTACCTGCCCAGCAAAACTTGCAGCCGTATATGTGGAGGTCGCACTTTTGATGTACTGGCGTCGCAGTGACCGGCTTGGCTTGTTCAGTAACAAAAATTTCAGGTTAAAAAAAATAAGTGCCGTAGTGCTGGTGGTTTATGTAGACACTGTAAGGTAGTTTATGAACATATTGTTGAAACCTGAAGAAAAGAAAATGCAGCTGACTTGAAACCGGGTTGGACTGTATCACTTGGTTGTTGGGGTGCTTTCATTCATTCAGTCTTACGTTGTGGAGTCGTTTCAAGATCTGACGCTGATCATTCTGTCCCTCTGCGCCATTGCATCACTTGTTCTGCACATGGTCTCCGTGTCGGTAAGCAGGCTGTTTGACTCTCTCTTCTTTTCGAAATCTGTCCTTTAAATCCTGTCATTCACAGCATTCAGTTGCTTGCTTCAGTTGAACTTCGGTTGGTTTTTATGTGTTTAACAGGGCAACGGGCAGTTAATGCATACTGTGTGAGGCTCAAGGCCTCGATCTGCCCTACTGGGCCCTATTTTCTGTATGGTCGGCCGCCCTAAGTGAAGGCAGGCTCGACCCAGGGCCTACAGGCCTATTTTGGGGTCACCATGCAACTGGGTAAATTCAGGCAGTTGCGCAGCGCCGGTTGGTTGAGAGCGCCCAGGCCCAGGCTGCCTCTTTTTGAATGTAATCGAGGCAGGCCCTGGGCCAGATTCACAAGATGGACCGAACACAGGCCGCAGGCAGTTGAACACGGGCAACCACCACAGGCCCAGGGCCTGATTCGTTTGGACTGGGGCTCAGCCTCTCTGGGCCTACCGGAAGCTTCTGGGCAGGGGCCCAGCACAGTCTAGCTGCACGCAAGGTAGGCAGGCCACTTCCATTTAGGAAAGGGCCTGCCCACGCATTCGGCATTCGGGCACTGGCTGCATACTGCGCAAGCGCTGGCCAGCGCTCACGCTCTCACGGGCGAGCTGGAAGGAGCAGGCAGCCATAGCCAAGCTGCGTTGCTGTAACCTGGATGGGGCGCATGGTGGTCTTTGGGTGCATGTGGCATCTGTGAGTTGGGGATCAAGGTTGTGAGTGATACGAGAGACATACCGGGTGCTTGAGGCGAACGGCATTGGCCGAGATCTGCTCGTACTTCAGGGAGCTGTTGACGTCATCAGCGGCATTGTAGATAGGCTAGATAGGATCTGCCATCTGTAGTCTGGGCGCCGAGCGCCAGATAGGATATCGACATTGGTTCTTCGTTGATGATGATGAGACTATACCAGCATTGTCAATTGTGAGCTTTTGCTGTGCTCTTATTTGGTGGAACTCGTGATGTAATTCTGCGATTGGTTCGAGGTCACGACTATCTGGTCTCATGTGTAGGATGCTGTTTGATTTCTGAAGTTTGCTATCGCTCATTTTCTTTGCAATTACGTTGCGCTCATGTGGCGCTTGTCTTCTGCCTATGCGGTACATGCATGCTGTATGCTGGGCGAGCTACCGTTGGGAGTGTGTAGTGAGGAGGGCGAAGACAAGTAGGCAACCCAGGTGGAGAGGGGATCGCTAGGAAGGCTACGTGACGAATATTGGGTGTTGGGAGTGCGATGCGAACTATCTGATGTGCGATTGATGCTGAGGTGGAACGGTGGTGTAATGCTGGTTGTGCCGAAGCAGCGATTGGTCATCACAATCGGCATCGGGTCATCTGGTGAGAATATATGTGGTTGGGGGCAGCTATTTTGAGGTACGTTGCACCTAACCTTATCTACCCTCTTCGACACTTCTTACTGTGAGGATGTGTGTTCTGTCTTGAGAGTCCTCTCATGTGAGGAGTCGAGTGCGTGCAACCTTGAGAGTCGTCAGTGTTCACGTGTAGCATCTGGAAGGAGAGGGCGGTGCTATCTGAAGGGCCCTGGATGAAGCACTGGGTCACGGTCATCATGCCAACCCACCGGGAGTAGAGCACGCATGATTTGCTGCTTTGTCCTTTGTCTGCTCGCTGCGCTGTAGATGGGTTCTGAGGGGCAGGCCAGCCCTACGGGAAAGACGAGTACCGACCGTCTATAAATAAGTACCGGCGGGGACCTTCCATTGGCTGTGATCGTCGTCCTGTCTGCGACGTTAAATAATTCCTGAGGACTTCGGGGGCTGTCCATACAAACGCCTCCTGATCAGCCAATCGGTCGGTGTAAGGCTCGTTGCCCGCGAGGATAAATATTGTGCAGGGCTGGCCAGCTCAGCGAAACTCGGGGCACAGGGGTGGGCCGTGCGCACACCTTTAGACACACACGCTGTTCCGGATTGCTCAAGGACGCTGCCGACAAGAGACATTCAGGAAGAACTGAGGGAGGGGTAGATTCCAGGTGATAAGTTTGGGAAAGATTCCACTCTCCAAACAGCCAATCAAATGATTCTATTTTTATTTTGATTAGTTAGATGTACAGCCATTAACATCTGACAGACAACATAGTTAGAACTGTTCACTGTTCATTGTGCTTTCTGTTTATGAACTAGTCAAACTATGTTATCGCGCGTTCATTGAATGCGCGTTTCGCATTCAGGGTATGAACGTGGTGAACGCGCGTTCACTGGACGCGCGTGAACGCGTTTGAC